GACTGCAGAACTGATAGAATCATCACAAAACCTCATGCTTATAGTGGAGCCCCTTTTCACCCACTATGACTAAATATCCTTTTAAAGTTTTTCAAGCACCCCCTGACCCTGTATAATAAGTTATGTGGTAATTTTAAAACCTCACTGGCAGATCCCTTTTTCTAAGGGTTTCCTCTTAAAAACATATTTAGAATAGGCTGCCATCAATTACAGAGTCTCATGCTGCCTTGTGATTCATTAGCTGGGAAATTCCTAGCGCTTTTCTCCCTTCAGATCAGCTCTACAAGCAGGGAGAGGAAGGTTTAGGCTCCTGCCCTAGGCCCAGAAATACAAAATTATAAATCCTTCCACCAGTCCTGAAACACAAGAGATACTCGTATTACAATGCATTCTTGAATGTGAAGAATGCCTTAATAAGGAAGTCCCTTATTAAGTCAATGAAAATACTTAATATAAGATATAAGAATTTACTGAGAAAAGGTAAATAAAAGAAAAACTAGAGAATGCAACAATGCATGCCAATAATTCCAAATAATCTCAAAGATGTCAACCTTGCTCAATGTTATTTATTACCTGCTTCAATAAGACCCTTTTAGCACATGTTGAAGGTTCACTGCAGAGAGGATAGTTGAAGATAGATCAATGAGGACTCCTGCTTAGTTGCTGATAGATAAGAACACCCTAAATCTTGCTCTTTTTTCCCATCTTTCTTGAGCACTAAGCTCAGCTGTAAAGGAGGAAGCGGGTAAGTGAAAGCCAGCCTGTTTGGGAAGTCCAGTTGTTGCTTTGCCCTATTCAAAGATCTGATATCCTGTGTGGAGTCAGCTAATTAGAAATTATCTAGTCAACTAAGGCTTATTTCCTCATGACCTTTGGTGAGATGATAAAGGCTCACTTTTCACCACTTGTGCCTTTGCATAAATGGGAGACAGGGGTTTTGTGTATATACATAGGATGGATTCCATTCATTCAAACCACTTAGCATAGCATTAACATATCAGGTACTTTGGGGGAATACTGTTAATACTATATATATCATAAATCTGTTGCATAAAACCAACAGAAGGAAACTATAGTAGTAACTACAGTGAAATAAGGAAACAAATCCAACCTGACCCACATATATAGTGATACCCTCTCGCTCTCCCCCCCCAATCCTTGGAGACCGGCAACTGCCTCATAAACATTCAGCATGGGCCCTGGCCACCACAATAAAGGATTTCAGGTCTAAAGGTTGCATAAGAGATGATCATGAGAGCAAATGTGGTCTGTCATGAAACGGAAATAAACAATAACCCGAGCAGCCGTTGGTAGCTCAGCTGGGAATGAAAGGTTTGGAAAGCTCTAGAGGAGTCGGAAAGCAACTTCAGATCCAGGTGAAGAGAAAGGGGCAATGTGGCTGGGCAAGCAGCCAATCAAGAGAGAAGAGGAAAGGCAGTTTGAAATGGCTATTGAGAAGGTCTTAGCGTTATCTGACTAATGAAAAGCAGCAAGCGTGTCTGAGAATGTGAGCACTGTGGATTGATGGTGAGATAAAAACCTGCTTCTAAGCAGGCTTGGAGGGAGAAGGATAGGGAGAAAGGAAGGGAAAGGGATGGCAGGACCTGGAGTTTGGCATTGTACTCTCTGGCAACCTTGGGTGCACTCATGTCAAGGGTGACTTTGCACATTCGTTATAATAGGGTAGAAAGAATTGTATGAGTCAGGCACTCGAAACAGACAAAGGCCTGTTAATTTTTGTGGGGCTGTAATAATGGGGCTCACGACATCTCAGCTCTAATCCATTGAGGGTGAATAAGTAGAAGATCAAATCTTTGCAAGCACAATACCTTTGCACTGTTCTCATTCTTTGCATCAGGATTCCTGCAGAGACGGGTCCTGCCTATTCGTGCCCCCCTATTGTCTGGCAAAGGTGCCACCTAAATGTCCTGCCTCAAGTGGAGATGTTAAAATGACTTGGCCTCCCAGCTGGTAGGGAAAAAGCTCGACAACCAGAACACGACTCTGGTACAAATGTATTTCATACTTTCTTAAGTCTTGGGATTAATGAGATTTGGTTTATAAGAAAAGTACAAGCCGAGATTTATTTCAGGAAAGGAAAAACAAGGGTAGTTATTTCTTGGTTGAGAATACATAATCCTTCAAAATCTGAAAGATAAGTGGATAGCAACATACATTCATACTTTAGTGAAGAAAGAAAGACTTTATGACCCTATCACTGTCTCTGATATATTACAGAAGGCTGCTTGTTAGCAAATATTTCCATCCAACTAGACAGAAATCTCTGATCTTCAGTATCACTACGCTTTATTTTTGTCTGCAAGTAAAAGGTTTGTGAAAAATAGTAGCAGTCTCTGGTATCTGGCTATCCATAGTGGGCAAATTATTTTGCTGCCTGAAATGATGACCAAAACGTATGCCCCATTACAGCTTATATCACTCAGAAAACAAGTCATTTTTCCCTGCTGCGTGGCAGCGCCAGCTCTGGTCATCACATCTGTACTTTGCCTTCCACAAAATATAGCTTTATGTCAAGTCATATAGAAAGCAGGATGATGACTTGTTCAAGCCACTGGATGAATTTCCCATGGCTAAGGAAGATGCAGTGATTACAGTATCACAAAAAGTCTTTCTGACTATTCATCAAACCACTTTGATTTGGTTATATACTGATTTAGCAATATCCTAGCATAATAAATTCAACATTTCCTGGGGCAACTTTACATCTACTTGCAAATAGCTAGGTCCATTATTAAGTCATATGTTATCCCCTCCAATAGATGTTTAAATGCAAAGTAGCCATGCATATGGCCCCTTGGAAAAGGTCCAGCTTTTAAAGTATATTTCGTTTGGTATGACTTTCCAAATTTCCTTTACAAAGCTGCTGGTTTTGCAAGGTGCCTCCTTTAAGGGCTACTGAAATGTGAAAATTGAAAGAATGATTTATTTTGGTGCAAGCTAGGAATTTTTTTTTATAAAAAGGTAGCATTTAAAAATAGTATGAAAAACTTTCTGTTTCTTAAATCAAGCAGAGCGGATCATAAAGCTATCATGCTTCAAGAACAAATTTCTAATGAAAATGCCAGAGTGAAGTAACTGAGTTGGGTTTCTTACAGAATGGATAACTTGGTCTTCATTTAGACTGAGAAGAGCTGGCTCATTACAGAAAAAAAAATACCTTTATTCTTCTGTCTGTGAATGCCGCCCACATTACTTAGGTCACAGCCACTGTGATTGGATTATTTATTTCATCAGGTTACAATTATAACAATAAAATGTGTATAATGTCATGAGAATTATGGGGCAGTGATAAGCAATCCCCCCAAATTGCACCCCAGCTGAAATAATAAACTAACCCACCCACCCAAAGGCAATAAAAATTGATGCTTGCTCTGTTGGATCCTCTTATTCCTCTGAAAGATTATTTTCCTCATTTGTGTCTATGTAGTAATGTGACAAATATATTGCAGTCTCTTGCATTGCTTTAGCCTTTTGACCCCTCTGATGAAACCAGCTCTTGAAACCTCATGCTAGACTAGATTGGCTGGTGTTTGAGATGGCACTAGAATTAGCAAGAGACTACCATGGCTACTGTGCTGCAGAATGGGAGAGAAACCAAGGAGTCCTTCATCTGAATTCATATTTTGTTTGGGTGTTTATGCCAAATATATCTTCTCATAAAGACAGTGGGCCTACCCATGCATGTGCATAGACAGGCAAAGATTGCCTGACCTCTCAGCAGATCAAGACAAGGTGCCTCAGGCAGCAAATGTTTGATACCATTAAGGCTGACAGTGGGGAATGATCTCTGCTGCAACATCTACCCACCAGGCATGATTAGAAATATGATATGCACAATTCTAGGTTTAATTGCAACTGTGACTTTCTTGAGGTTAAGGTGTCCCCAGAATTACCTGGAATTACCACGACTGCTAAAATAATCGTTGCAATCTGTTCCATGCATGCTGAAATATTGTATTATCTGGTAGCCAGGGATGCAGCATTTTATTTATTTGGGAAATCCAAGGTAACAGGTGGTGAGAGGATGGTCCCATTCTGTTCAAAACTTCACTTCTACCTCTTTTCCTCACTGCTTCAAAAGATGTGAGCCTTCCTTACTGGATGCTTCTACTCCCCAACCTTCCCACCCTTCTCCATTTTTCCTACTGGAAAAGCTGCCAGTAAGACAAAACACAGGTAGATGAAATAATCACAGGATCTTTCTGTGCTTTCCATTTTTGCTCACATGTTTCTCTGAGTTTACCATAAAAAAAAACAACTCTCTGGCGTAGAACCCTAAAACGATGATACGAATGCAACGAGTAACATAAAAAAAAACCCAAAAACAAAAACCCCTCTTAATGTTAGGATCTCCTGACAAAATACTACCCATCCACCCCTTTTGAGTTATCATACAGCTTTGTTTTTAAAATCCCTCTCCAGAGGTGGGAGGCAGGGATGGAGGGCGCCGGCGGCAGAACCGTATGGCGCATCATTTCCAACAGATTCTTCTGTTGAGCCTTTCTTTTAAATGGAAGCCCGGGGGGAAACCTCTTATGGTCATGGACCTGTGGGTTTTGTTCCAAAGCAACTTTGCTTCTTTCTACAATCGCCCGCCCGTCCCGGGGATAAGAGACCACGGTGCGATTTCGTAAAGAGCTTTGATTGTTGTACGATGAATCAAGTCGATGTTGTATAAAGCGCCGATAAACAAGATTTCTGACTATTGTGCAGTTGTCAGAAAGGCGTTTCTGCTTTGAGCTTGGATCTCGGGGAAATCAAGGGAGAGGGAAAAGAGGATAGCGGTCCGTGGCCGGCGTATGGCTGGTAGCAGCAGCAAGCCCGGCTCCTCGGCCAGACGAAAGCGCCAAGACTGGCGCGAAGAGCGCACCAGCTGCTTAGAAAGCTTTCCACACGAGGCCCGCCCTCCTAGGGGGAGCTGGCCAATGAGAGGTCAAAGGGGCGGGGTTTGAGGGGCAGCTGTGACGTCACCAACCCGGAAGTGGTCGAGCTCTTGGCTGGAGGTTTTCCCAGCAGCCGCTCCCAGCGGGAAGGGGACCCTCAGGTAGGCAGCGAGGAAGGCATGCAGGTCTGCAGGCAGGGCTGCTTTGGGACAGTTATGGAGCCCGGTTCGATCTGATGGGCGTTCCTAGTGGGGAGACTCAGCAGCAGAGGCACTTTCTCTTGCTCTCGCGCTCTCGCTCTCTCTGTCGCCAACGCGATCGAAGATGGGTCTGTTTTCCTGAACCGGCTCTCGTGCGCTTCTTTCCTCTTCCCTGCCGCAACTTTTTTTTCCCCCCGCTGGAACTGATCCTTTTCTCCCTTTGTTTTTGTCTTCTGCCCATAAAACACTTCGTTGCTCTCCGTTATCTCCTCTTTTCTGGCCTGAATCCGGGCCCTGCTCACGCTGACAGCTTGCCTTAGACAGAATTACACTTTGCTACATTCGTGTACAGCCTTGAGTCAGCACATGTGTGCCCAGGGTAAAACCTACATTCCTGTATAACAACTTTGATTTTTAGGAGAGAGTTACTTAAAAAACAGCGGGGGGGGATGGGGGGTACTCATCTGTTGGCTTAAATTATTGACATTAAGTTGTGTCCTAGAACTGAGCAGCCATACCAGGAATTGGCTGCTCCAAAGTTATATTTCTGTTTCTGTGTGTTTTCATATTCTGAATATAATTCATATTTTAAATATGTGTGAATGTGTATTCATGTTCTGATACTTCACTGCATTTCATTGTACTGCATTTTATTGTAGTTGGGGATTTTTGATCTTTTGAGTTGCTCAGTTCTCTTATTTATTTATTTAGTCCTACATGATGTCTAAATAACATAAATAAATATCCCAGTGGTACAGTGACTACACTTTGTTCTCTATTGCTCCAGGATAATATGTGAAGAGAAGCTCCAGTTGTTATATTTGTTTATTCCTTTAGGTGGTAGGGGCTGCAAGTCCTGAACCATTCTGATTGCCTAGCCCAATGGCAGCCGAAGTGAAGGTGTCTGGGCAGAATCAGGAGCAGTTTCTGCTGCTGGCAAGATCTGCCCGCGGAGCTGCTCTGGCCAACCTCATTCATCAAGTGCTGGAAGCCCCTGGTATTTATGTTTTTGGAGAGCTACTTGACATGCCAAATGTTCAAGAGGTGAGCTCTGAGACTCATGGGGTGAGGACCTCAGTTGTATGGTACAACCTTCCAAAGGCCTGATGGAAAATAGCAGGTCCTTATATGACCTCTGGTGCCTCTGTTCTGCAAGGCAGCCTTTCTTAGCACTGCCTTGCTATTATAATTACTTTATAGTAATTTAAAATCATAGATTATGCTTTAAAGCGGAACCATTGGTTCACACATCTTTTGAAACAAGTATTTCTGCTCTATAAATGAGCAGCTTCAAGTTTCTGTCTGATTTCCTTTGACAAATTCTTGTATAGTAGTACTGAATGGAGATTAGTCGTCTTTCTATTGAATCACTGAATAAAATTGCTTTTAAGCTAATGTTTTTCATACTGAACTTGGTAATCCATGGGGTTCCTAAAGTCATTTAGGATTTTTCTGGGATTGTAATCCCTCATGCTAAACAAAATTGCTTGATCTTTCGTTATGCTGAATTTTAAAAGGCCAGTATTTATTCAGGTAAATAAATATTTTGTAATAGATCTACCTAGTACCACCTTTAAATGGAATGTATCTCTTTGAATGCTTCCCAATCATCCATAAAGGCATGAATCTCCCTAAAATTGTATACCTTTAATTAAAAGATTTGGTGATTACATGGTGGAAAAAAGTATAGAAAGAAAGCTAATGTCATAGGCTATTGCTCGGAGTTCCTCTAATTTTTGGTTCATAGGCCAATTTTTCTATAATTAAAGAAAGATTTAAAACAATAGTAGAAAAGGAAGTGGTTTGGGGTCCTCAACTTTATTAAAAATATGAAAACCCTTACCCCTTCCTTCATGAAATGTAATGGTTTGAAATCTGTGGTTCCCAAACTATAGCAGTCCAGGTGGATTTATGGAGGAAAATAGCCCTGTATTTCTCTTAGGTGACTTGTTTCATGGAACATGGGAATTTAATTTTTTTTTTTTAACATGGCACACAATACTTGCTTTTGTGAGATCTGCAAAACCTCTGAATGTCAATCACCTGAATAATAGACAGATTTTGCTGATGTTTATAAAATTCCTATCTTTTTTCTATAACACATCTTTGTGAGACTCAGGCTAGATGGAGGGGTATACTGTGGTGCAAAATTATCCAGTAATCTTCCTTTATGTCTGAGCAGAGGCGTTTTTTCTTAGATATTTATGTTGGATTTTGAACATTCCCACCACAAGAGTGCTGCACAGAAGGAAACAAACAGGCTGTTTTAAAGATTTTCCATGAAATGGTTTATACTCAAATTACACATGATTATACCATTAGGGATGACAGATGGAGGCTCATAACATTAAACAGTCCTAACAATAACATCAGCTCTCCATATATAAAACTAGTGCTGTATGTCTAAGAGCAACTAGGCTAGAACATTTCTCTCTAGCCAATATTTTTATATATAAATGTCAGGGATTTTTAATCTTAGGCAGAATATTATGTTACAATCAATTCCTCCGTAATTTTCTTGAGTGGTGCTGTCTGGGCAGAGGCTCACCATATTGGTGAAAGTCAGATCTGTTGGTTACCTGGGATGTTCTGGTGTGAACTGTGAAAGATTCTATGAGCAAAAAAAACCCAAAGTTTTTTTTTCTTATCATTTCTCAAATAACTCTAGTTATTTTCTCTCCCTCTATAGCTAGCCGAAAGTGAATTCTCACCTATTTTCCGCCTGCTTACAGTCTTTGCATATGGAACGTATTCAGATTACCTGGGTATGTCTTATCTTCTCCTTAAGAAACAGGAATGGTAGAGAAAATTGCCAAAAGAGAAGGAAGAGCCAAGAAAACAAAAACGAAGCAATGCTTCATATAGCAGGGTTTGGATAATATGAAGTCATTCAGTGTTGAAGTTCTCCTCAGGATCAGGAGTTACTGTATAGACTAAAAATGTCATGGAGTTGAGAAAGAAACTGTTGGACATTAAAAGGAGACTGAGGCTGGCCCATAACTTGTAATTACCTCGCTCCTTTGATCCTTCTCTCTGTATTCTCTTTGTTGTCCACGGTCTTTAGTTGATGTCCCAGTGGATGGAGAATATTTGTGGTGCATAATGAGATGAGATGCTATTGTCTTGGTCATTATACCAAATTTTAATTTTTACTAAGAGACTGTGGTCTCAGAATCAGAGCCTATTGTTTTGAAAATGTCTAAGTGGCTAATAAGTATGTTTAAATTCTAGACCCCCAAAGAAGGGACAATTTGTATAGGATTACTGGACATACATGTAAATGCTGTGCACATTGCCCTAAGTAAATTTTGACTGTTTGGCTTAAAGTTTCTTTTTAAGGAGGAGAAAAAAATGGGGTTGGTTATAGGGTGTCAAAATCTGTCATGAGAAATAGAAAAAAAAGGATTAACTATATATAAGAAATGGATGGGATCTTATTCTGTGATGCTAGGGAGAATTTGAAGGAATATTCCTTTTTTTGTTTTTGTTTTGGTCTGAGAGCAGCTGAAGTTGGGAATCTGCCTCCCTTGACAGAAGCTCAGAAGAACAAACTGCGCCATCTGTCTGTGGTCACCTTGGCTTCCAAGCTGAAGGTAGCCTATCTATCCTTTCCTTGCCTATTCTGCTCATTGTTTAGAAGTCCTCTGGAATTGGGTCTCTAAAGAATGCAAAGAAACAAACGAATGTTGTACTTACACTGGCTTGGGTGTCTCTGCAGTGCATCCCCTATTCTGTACTGTTGGAGCAGCTCCAGCTGAAGAATGTGCGGCAACTGGAGGATTTGGTGATTGAGGCAGTGTATGCCGATGTACTCCGAGGGAGCCTGGACCAGCGCAACCAGCGGTTAGAGGTGGATTACAGTATTGGCCGGGACATCCGCAGGGAGGAGCTCAGTGTCATTACCCGCACGCTTCAAGAATGGTAAGGAAGACTTTGATCTTGTGCAAACTGGGGAGGATACATCTTAACAAAGGCAGAGAAGCCCACCAGATCCTCTTGGACTCTGCTGCATATGTGGGAAGAAGTCAAGTGGGTGCTGATCATGGGGCCCTATTTGGGACCGAAGCCCCCTAATCAGCATCACACCACTAGGCAAGAATGAACAAAGGGCTTTTTATCACTTATGCAAAATAGTCCTCGCTTAATAACCCTAATTGGGACTGGTAACTTAGCAATGCAGTCGTTAAGCAAAACTTCAGGGAGCCGCCTCTGCTTATTGATAGCAGTTCCAGCACTTCCAGTTGTTGAGCAAATTGCACATGGTCACTAGGCAAGGATCCACCTAGATCCCAGCCAGTTTTGGAAGAAGATAAGTGATGGCCGTCACCGGCTGCCTCCGCTGCCCAACCCTGCTTGTCACTGTACACCCTGCACCACATGCCACTGCCAGCCGGGTTCTCTTTCATGCACCAGCCAGGGCATCCTTCTTTTGAGCTAGCCCCCTTCTGCATGCTGGCCAAGTCTTTCTTCCTCAAAGGGAAGCTCTGCCCGGCTCCCAAAAGAAGGACCCGGCTGGCAGTGGCATGAGGCATAGCACAGACCTGCCTGCCAGTCTGTGGGACACTTCCACAGCATGTAACCTGTCCATGCCAGGGTGGTGAACTCAACAGAGGGGAGGCAGGCAAAGAAAACGATGAAAATCAGCTGGGTTGGTGGTGGGGCAGCTGCTGGCAAGGGGCATAGTTGTAAACTTAGGTGCGCCCAAATTTTGTTCACATGACCTTGGGGAGCACTGCAATGGCTAGAACTCTGTGAATCTGTTGTAGGTCCCTTCATTCAGCACTGTTGTAAGTTTGAATGATCGCTGAACAAAAGGTGGTTAAGTGAGGACTACTTGTGTGCAGGATTAATGCCGGGATTTTATGCCCCATGAATTGGTCTATAGGTTACACCAATTAACATAATTTATTCTACTTTTATAAATCTTAAAAGAAGGATAAAAGGCAATTAGGGACATCGAAGAGGTATTCTCTGTTGAAAGAAATGTACACCCCCGCACCTAATGTATGAATTTTATCAAATGTTGCAAAGCATTGTAAATAAATGTTTTCATAAACTAGAAATTTGCTCTTAGGTCCAACCGTTTGGTTTTTTTTTCTTTTAAAAGTGAAAGCCAAGACTCTTGGGAAACTAGATTTGGAGTTAACATTTTATGTTTTTTCTGTACCTTGAAAACTTGGTATACATGCAACTTAATCCTACTCTTAGAAAAATACTTTTCATTGGTGGGAAGAGAGTTGTATACCTGTGTGGTGACCTTGCCAAAGTACAGATGTCTGCGGAGACAGACTCATTTTGCCCAGGACTATTTCTCCTACCCCTCTCACTTCTTCCCTTGCTATGAGAACATTTGCACACCCCTTTTCCACTGAAGTCTCTCCAGTGGGGTCTACAGCACAAAATACAATGGTGCTAACATATATATATAGAGAGAGAGACATCTACTTGTCATCATCAAGTGAATGCTGCCATTAAGTGCTTGGGTCTCAACATCTGATGCAAGCATTTAAGTCATGAGATTTTCATGATGACATCATGCACATTTCCTTGTTTGTTCTCCTACCCTTGGATGCCCATGAGCCAGATCTCCCAATCCCAAGATTTATGAGCTTCTGCTAAATGCTGTTTGCTCTCTTAGTTGCTTTGTTGGTCTCCTGCTTGTTCAACTTTTACTGGTCCTTCCCAGGTGCCAGGGCTGCGAAGTTGTCCTTTCAAGCATTGAAGAACAAGTTAGCCGAGCCAATCAACACAAAGAGCAGCAGCTGGGCCTGAAGCAGCAGATTGAGAGTGAGGTGAGGGTCAGGGCTTCAATGCAGAGCTTCCCCCCCCAGCCAGCTTCAGACTGACTTCAACATTACACCTGGCAACCTCTGCTGGTCTTGTACATTTCTGGTCTAGCTGGGATAGGCAACTTGTGGCCACCTCTAACCCCCAGAGTCCCACTAAGATTGTGCTCCTGAAATTCAGCAAGGCCATTTTCTATCAAGGAGGGAAGCTGATGTGGGAGCATAAACCTACCAGCAGCTTGCCAAGCTCAATTCAAATGTTTTAGATTATTGCCTATTAGGCCCTAAATGGCCCTAGATATCTACCAGATAACTTCTATCAGACATACTCTGCTCCCAGAGTCCAAATGGACAGAGAAGACCTGCTTTAAGTCACCTCCTTCTGGGAGGTAAGGTAGGAGTGCCCATCCCAAATATGGGTAGCTCCTCTCCTCTGGAATAGCTTGCTCCCATTCCATCCTCTGGAATAGTTTCCCCCCCCTCCAAAGAAGGATAGCTTCTGCCCCCTTTAACTTCCAGAAGGTTGTAAAAAATTGGCTGTTCTGGAAGGGCTTTGGATTTCACTATTATATTTATTATATTTATTAAGGCCCAGTATGAATGTTACTATTGTTATTGTGATTGCATTATTTTTTTAAAAAAAGTTTTAATTTATTTTTTCAATTGCTGTATCATTTTGCTGCTGTTGCTCTTGTACATTGTTTACAGTCTTTGAAATTGAGGCACATGGTATTAATAAATATGCCTCCAGGTTTATCTTGCCTACGTTAGATGAGATAAATTCCTGCAACAATAGACTGAAAATGTCAATTCCACATTTTCTGTATCTGACGTTTCTTACTTGCTGCTTAATAGATAATACCAGTTCTGACTCCATGTAAGGCATTTTCTTGTCTCTTTCATATCCTAAGATATAACATGATAAAAGTCACTTCTCACAAGCTGGATCTAAAACTGGATCTAAAATTAAGCTGCTAACATTGTCTTTAAAGAGATTATCATAATACTTATTCTATGATCATCATTCAAATATTTCCAGGAATATTTAATATAACATTTTTGGAAGTGCGATGCAGAAAGGCGCTCTTAAAATGTGGTCACAACTGCTCCATTCAAAACTATGTTTCATTAGCTGATCATAGCAATTTTAAACTGGATGACAGACATGATTAGATTAAATGTTTAAAAAACTTTGTCCACCTCTCCATGGAGAAGATTCTTTCTTTCATTTTTACATGGTTAATTTGCCTTTTAACTATTTAATTGTCTACTGAATGTGACAGAAGCTTTAATTATTGCCAAGCATTACCAAATTACCCATTTTCCTATTAGTTGCGTTTTGATGTGCATCGTTATTCCAGGCTCATGTCTCCTAATAGAAAACACTGAAAAGAAGGATGGGGAGATGTGTTTTCAGAATTTGGGAAGTTTTAAGAAGGGAAAGTGTCTATATGGATCTTTCAAATATTTAAGGCATTTATTTTGCTTGCCCGTTAAAGTACCTGAAGCCTCTATCATTTTTGGAGTGTTAATGCTTGTCAAGGCATACAAAACCCAGAGCTGGCCTTGAACCAATGGAAGTGGTCCTTGTCTGCTTTACGTGCTCTGGTAAAATTTGTGTCATATGTAGGAGAAGAGAAAATGCTCCATTTTAATTGGCCACAAATATACCTTAATTATTAGAGGTTTGGGAGCTTATGGGATAAAGTTTGCAACTATTACTTGTTCAGAAAACTGAGCATAATACAACTCTCCCAATATTAAAAATAAAAAATAAATACATTTCATCTGAGCAATATTTTATTATCGATCTATAGCACAGTCAGCAAATGCTTTTATGAATGTATTCTATAGTACAATCAAAGTGCCTATCCTTATTTGGCTGAAGAAATTAATTATTTTGACTAATGAGCAATGTAAGAAAAAGATGATTGTAGACACCCGTAACTTCTTGGCTCGTACATTTTACTCATTTGTTGCTTATATTGTATATAGCTTACAATTTCTTCTTTGGTTCTGTGCTTTGTTGTTCACCACCCAGAATCTATTAGCACTGGGGTGATCTACAAGTATTGTTAATAAACTGGATGAGTCAGCAGGAGGGGAGAGAAATCATTTATACACTCTCAGCCCTCCAGCTGAATGCAGCACATTGGAAGGCATCCACTGAAACCTTGGCACAGCCCCTTCCCCCCTCCCCCCCCAATTGGGGTTTTTAAATTAAGATCTGGCTGGAGAATTCCTGGTGAGATTTTTCCAGGATGATTATGTTAGGGAACTCTTCCTGTCTTTGGCGCTGGAACCATGTCTTCCTTGTTTCTTTTCCCTCATTTTCTTTTCACCCGGTAGGTGGCAAATCTGAAGAAGACGATTAAGGTGACAACAGCAGCTGCAGCAGCGGCAACCTCCCAAGACCCCGAGCAGCATTTGTCAGAACTCCGGGAGCCCGCACCGGGTACCAACCAGCGCCAGGCTAGCAAGAAGGCCTCCAAGGGCAAAGGGTGAGATAGCATTCCAGGGAAGGCTGGCTATGAAAGCAGAGCATTCCCTGAGGTGTTTCATCAATCCCTCACATTGGGACTCTAGCAATTTACCTGTAGAGTCTGTAAAGCCCTTGTCTTGAGCATTCGGGCTAAACTTCTGCTGGTCCTCATTCCAAGGCTTTTTTTTCTTCTCTGCAGGCTCCGAGGCAGTGCAAAGATCTGGTCTAAATCAAACTGACAGGACTGCTGGCTGGGGAGTTGAAGCAGGTGTCCCACGTCTGGTGCTTTCTTCTTCAATCCAGATGTATTTCTGCGCAACTTTGTCCCTGTGTAAATGGTTCCGCCTTCCCATTATTTTCTTCTTGTGTTTCTTACAGCTGCTTTCCCCTGTTCCTCTCTGGTAATCTTGTTTGTACCTTCTCTGTTTTGAATGCTACTCCCCCCCCCCCCCCGTCTTCTCTCTCTCTCGCCTGACTTTTGTTTTCTTGAATGCATTTTTAAGGAGCCATGAAATGGCTCATGTTTAAATTACATTTTGCTCCAACAGATTGTTGTGGCAACCTGTGTGGAAACAAATCTGGCATCAAATGGCCGCTTAAATTCTCTGAGCAGATCCTGGGACATTTGCTCTGGGCCACCCAGTTTGACATCCCAGTTTCCTGCTTTATTGGAATCAGTGAAAGGGAGGAATGTTTGTGTGAGTGTTTGAGTGGATTGTTTTTAAAAAATAGTACAAATATATAAAGCAAATAAAAATTGACAGACCTGTTTCCAGGAGTGTTTTCACTTTGGCACCATGCTGCTTTGTTTTGGATATTTTGGTAACTGAATATATGATAACTTGTCTTTTTTTTTTAGGTCACAGCTTTCTTTTAGAGGGAAAATAGGAGGAGAAATAATATATAAAATTATTAGCATGGGGATAAACCCATGCTAATCAGTACATGAACTGATATTTGGGGGAAGTTCAGATAAACCAAAGAAATGTTAGAACTTAACCAATCACTGTATCTAGATGGCATCTATCCAAAAGCTTTCTTGGTCTTTTGGCCAAGATCTAGCATAGTGTAATTTTGAAAGAACTCCAATGAGAAACTTGGTCAAGTAAAAGTATGTAATACATCCCCATAGCTGACTGCTAAATAGAAACCCTTTTTTTTTAAAGGTTCCTGAAAATTACAGGCCAGCTAGTTTAATAGACTCTGGAAAATTGGGACTTTCAAATCCATGCAGAGTTTCTGTGTATTCCAGACATTGATTCGTGCTGACCTTATGAAAGCGATCTGGAATTAGTCTGCTGATGGAACAGGACTGGAAATCCTAAGCATACTGCTCTGGGACTAAGTCATTCAAATCAGAGGGACTCAGTACAGAAGTAGGAAGCATACTTTTCTTTGGCTTGCACCCGGTGTAAAAGCTTCTATTAGCTCATTTTGTTTATTGGGTACAGAAGGTAGCAAAATGGCGATTTCTGAAGCACTGAAGTCAACTAGTGTCTGCAACTGTTAAAAATGCAGGGAGAAAAATCATTTTAGAGCCGTGGGCTTTTCTAATTGTCTTTGGAAGACAGTCTTCCCTTGTACTAACTTAATTGCTGCCCAACTAATATGTGGATATATTCCCCCCCCCCCGAAAGTTAGAAACTGTGCGAGGAGCCAGTATTGCAAAAACTAAAGAGAAGTAGAGGTGGGCAGCAGTGACAATGAGAAAAATACATGAAATTGTTTCAGCGGTAATCTTTGTTTTTAGAAAATTGTAAAGAAATATGAATAAGAGCACCAGTGAAGTGCACAGGAAGATCAGAAAGATTTGGATATATCAAAGCTGAGCTAAGTCTACTTATCCACTGCTAAGGCAGTTTTTCAGAGTATACAGAATATTCTCAAAGCAGGGTTAACTTCCTCAGATCAATGGTAAATATGCATTCCTCCCTTCCTTGACTCAGGAGGAAAATACATTGTTATGAAAAACACTGCTTCCAGAATCTGTCTTTACTATGCTTCAAAACCAGGGCATGGTCAGTGTTGTAGCCCGCACACATTGGAACATGGGGAAGTTTTAGAGCAGTGGTGGCGAACCTATGGCACGGGTGCCAGAGGCAGCACTCTGAGCCCTCTCTGTGGGCACGCGTGCCATCGCCCCAGTCCTAGGCCTTCAGCTGGGTTTTATAAAACCTTTTTGCTTTAGGCCTCCACCGCCGTGTGCCAAAAAAAAAGGGGGTTCAATCAGTCAATTTCAACTTCTCGTGGGAAAAAAAATCTTGCAAAGTTGGAATTGATTGATTGAACTTTTTAGTCCCACCCAGTCTGCCGTTACCACTGCAGCCACGCCCATCCAATTGGCCACGCCCTGCCAATGGGCCACACCCAGCCAATGGGCCACACCCACCCGGCTCTCCACGATGCATAAGTGGGTTTTGGGTTGCAGTTTGGGCACTCAGTCTCTAAAAGGTTCGCCATCACTGTTTTAGAGTATCCCTGAAGTCCTTGCCCCTCATATCAAGCCATCTACCAGCAGGAACTGCCTCTGATACTTTCTGGGGTTTTTGGCTGCTGGTGGGGAATAGCTCAGAATCTGTATTTTCTGGGCTGAGTGGTCACTTATTGACTTGGTTCAGGGCAAGTAGTGATAGAAGGATTACCTAAAGAAGGCTAGGCAGCTGCTAAGAAGGTAAGACATGGAGAAATTGACTGGTGCACAGAAGGGGTGCTAAATCTTTGCAGTCCTTTGGGAAGGCTAGAGCTATTGGGGGAAGACAAAGTGTCCATTGGTGGGTTAGTTAATTTATTCCAGGTTGTTCTGCATTATGCTGGAACAGACTTGAGTTTCAACCAACAGGAACTCTCAGCCAGACTGCAGCTATAGGTTCCTTCAAGACTTTGCAAAGAAGAGGCAGAAACAATGTGCCCACTAAAAACTGCACAGCCCAAGAGTCAAAGTAGTTCAAATTCTTTCAAGCACTGGTAATTCTTCCTTGTTATTTACCACAAATGGGTGAGGCAGTACCCTTTCCCCAACATTCAAAATCAAGGAGCACTAGGCTTTCTTCATCAACAAGTTATGTAAAAAGATCAGAATGTTTTAAAGGAAAAGCACTACTCCAGATAATCTTTAACACTTTGCAGGGGGGGTACATGACTGAGGATGGGGATTGCCACAGAGGTCCTGAGAGGCTTTCCATCCCCCTCTTCTCAGTATATTGATCTTATGAAGACTGTAAGTGTTCCATTAGATCAGACATGTCAAACTCGCGACGTCATGTGATGTCGCACAACGTATCGGAGCTTTTTTGCCATTGCCGGCAATGGGGTGGGCGTGGCTCCGGTATGATGAAACTGGCCCGTGGGCTGGCAGTTTGACACCCCTGCATTAGATTGATTAGGAGGTTGATACGATATCCCATAAATGAACTACACTCATACAAGTTGCACTGGTGATGTGTCCAGTCCCACTGGCCACGGAAGAGGTTGTACCCAGCAGCCAGATGGAAAGGGATGGTCCAGCAAATCGCTAACTCAGGTTTTCTGCCAGCATAGAATGGAAACGCTTTTGCACAACGGCTGCAGGACTTGGGTTTGGCTAGTCTAAAGAAAAGAAGAAATAGGGGAGGCATGATAGCTGTATTCCAGTATTTGAGGGGCTGCCACAAAGAAGAGGGGGTCAAATTATTCTCCAAAGCACCAGAGGGCAGGACAAGAAACAATGGTTGGATACTGACCAAAGAGAGAAGCAACCTGGAATTAAGGAGAAACTTCCTGACAGTGAGGACAATTAACCAGTGGAACAGCTTGCCTCCAAAAATCGTGGGCGCTCCATCACTGGAGATTTTTAAGAGGCTAGAGTCAGACAGTCACTTGCCTGAGATGGTATAAGTTCTCCTGCTTGAGCAGGGGGCTGGACTAGAAAATCTCCAAGGTCCCTTCCAGCTCTATTCTATTCTAACTTCAGTGTGTCTCAGCTAGCAATGAGATGGCTAATCTGTTGGGAGGATGTGTCTTTGGCAAATAGATGTCTTCATGCTACATCAACCATGACGTGGGCTAAACTTGTATTACATTTGGTAAAAATGGAACTTTAATCTTATATCAAGCTTTTGGTCACTAGAATCTGAACTGTTATGAAATATGCCAGGCAAAACCAGGCTTATTTCTGAAAACAGATGTAGGCTTTTTTTTTTCCTGGCAGACAACTTATAGCACAAAAGGAAGCAGTGCGTTAAAAGAGAAATAAGTTTAAATTCCTATTCACTCTCAGGCACCAGATGACCTTGGGCTATTCAATAACTCTCTTAGCCTAATGTTTTCAAAGGACTGGTGTAAGGGCAAAACAAAATAATGATTCTGTGTCTTGCTGGTTTTATTTATTCACTAGTGTATTTATTTTTACTTACAAGTTTTTCTCTCTGCTTTATCATCTATAGCCCAAAGGCAGCTTACAGTAGAGAGACAAAAGATATAACAGTACTAGAGAATATGCAGGAAAAAAGGAGGGAACAACTATTAAAGCAATTAAAAATAATGGGAGAGCAGAGTAGACCTTTCCTTCAGATCTAATGCAGGTGGCTGATGCATGTGAGAAAAGGAAGGGAATTCTGCTTGTGGGCCAGTAGTCTAAATTATAGAAAAGAGAAGATACAGTAGTCCTTTAGATACATTCTGAACCCAAGTCAAACTGGCTTTAAAAATGCCTTTCTTTTATTTAAACCTGGAGATGGACTAGAAACCTTCTAACATGGTATATCTTGAGTAAGACAAATGGCTGTTCAGCCCAACAGATTAAAGAGAGAATGACCTGCCCCAGGCTTTGGTCTAAGGGCCTTTCACATCAATTACTCACTAACTGGGAAGGCAATGCTTCAACAATCACATTGAGATGGCTTGAACAGAGGACATCCCCCTTAATTTGTCCCTATCCTGGCATTGAATAAGATTGCAGTTGTCTTGAGGGCTTCCGGTTCTGGATCGCGGCGCCAGCAGGCGTTCGGTAATAGCGCTCTCTCCGCTGTCTAGTTTCCCTTCGTAGGAAGACCCTGGAAAGGGTCAAAAGTCACCCTGGAGGGGCGACCACCGCTGAGGAGGACCCTCGCTAGATCGCAGAAGGGTGGCAGCCCTTCTGTTTGATCCGAGGCAGCTCCTTTGGACCGACGAAGAAAAGATCGGCCATTAACATGGCCGATCACTAAGCCATACCAGCTGAAAGCCAAAAGCACTACCAAGCACAATGAAAGCAATGCGGAGGAATTGGGTGAGACCTTACCTTACTTTTCTTGCACCCCAACTACCTTCCTGAAAAAGCCTTTGGAATTTTTTCCCCCCTTTCTAACTTGGCAGCTTCTGCCTACTCTGGGAACATAAAGCTATGGGGGGGGAGGGGGGGTGGAAAGAACAACTAATCTAAACGATTAAATAATTGAATTTGCAATTTTTGGATATTTGGGGCC